AAACATTAAAGATATCATTAGGCAGAATTTTGATATATACTCAGTATATATCATTCATACTGAATACGATTTACATACTGAGTATCCTTAACGTTTACACATTTTCACATATCTGAAGGCATTTAGGGTCTCAAATTTCTTTGAAACTGAATAGAATTCAGATGCCTAATTGTCCTAATATTTCTTTGGAAAAAAAAGGAAAAATAAGATTATTTATATCTAACCATATCCTTAGTTTTACAAATCAGTCACTAATTAAAAGGGCTAACACAACACTCCATTGCACCATGCCAAGATACTGATTTATTCTGAGTGTGAGGGCATTATTCACTAATATCGCTCTCCTAAGCATCTTGGTAGGAATTCTTGCAATTCCTCTCCCCAAATTCTGACCAAGGCCAGAACACAGAACCTTAATCTTAATCTCTTCTTGATTGGATTTTAAAGACAGATCATTTCAGAAATTTTCCACTTTGCAGCACTCGTGAATCATCAAAGATCAGAGAATGTTGAATGCAGTATAAGATTGACTGAATGCATGTTTTTTGAAAACCTGATTTCTTCAGAAGTCAATAGGCATCTAATTTTCTCCTTCTTTTATTAAAGGTGAAAATAATCATGTTTATGAATAACGATAACACATCCAGTGTCCCAGCTGTGCCCTGTGAATTAACACCTATCTCTGTTGACAAAATTCAGCAACACAACACAGAAGGTGTAAATAAATATAACACTTTTCATGCCCTATCATGTCCGAGTCCGAATTCCTTACAGTAGTAAGTTTTTACCTTGAAAGACAGTTTTGCGGCTCTGATTATTCTTTTTCCCCTTGTTGTTTTCTATTTTAATGTGTCTGAATTTTTTGTATTTGGTATCTTAATCTTTTATTAATTCAGACTTCTTGCACTGTATGTAGCCCTCTGTTTTAACTCAGTACCTACCAGTTATTAAGCTTATGTCAGTTTCTTTCAATTTTCTCTTTCATCTCATCTCTTTCTCATTCCTCTTCTTCCCTATTGTTGTCTTTTTTCTTTCCCTTCATTTCTAATATGTAGTTTTTATTTAGTTTACCTACTTCTCATTTTCTTCCTATGTTAGTGTCTTCACAGTGAAAGAAGTTGGTTTTCTTGCATATATCCCTGGACAAATAACGTATCAAGTGCCAGTATCTCCAACTGTCAGTTAAAGCTCTCGCCCATATGAACTTTAAACCATTTGCCAACTCTCATTGCTGTTAATTGGAGCTTCGGAATTGTACCAAAAATATGAACTAAATATATTCTCAAGAATAAGATGTTTAAAAGACAGAAAAATTAGTTGAAAATAAGCCTTTAGGTTCCTCCCTTCTCAACCAGACTACTCAGTCAGAATGGGGAAGCCACAAGGTCTGCTGTAGAGATTTGCATCCATCTCCTCTGATGACCACTCCAACTACCAGGACACAGGGTATCTTGCTGTGGGAACCTCTTGAACTATATCTGTAACCTGACCTGCATTTTTTAGAGGTAGAAAGAGCCTTAAACACCTTTCACCTCATGAATACTACAGCAGAGGCAATAGAAGCTATATGGCTGCATAACCCTTTTCCTTTCCCACCTCTTCATCTTGATCTCCCTTCTTTCCTTCCCTTCCCTTCCAAAATTCAGTTTTCTTTTCTCTGAAGGAATTCAATTTATTTAGTCAAGATTTCTATGTACATGGTTGTTTGAGGACTTCTGGTTATGCTCTATTCTGGACTGGCTCAACCAGGAACTTTGACAGCTAGCAGCAAATTCCAGTTTCAGTTACAAGACCTGAAACCCAGGGCTCCTTCTCTAGCAAAAGTGTAGAGCCTTTTAATTTATAGTTAACATCTGGACTTCACCATACCATGACCTCATCCATCAGAAGTGTCTCTCAGTTTCTTTGTGTCAGTTCTGCCTTGCCTTTCTTTAAAGGTGTTTATCATCAAATCACTATCACAACATAAGCATAAACAGAAAAAATAAATAGCCTCATATTCTTATCCATGAACTTACTGATAGATTGTTATAAACCTGTTCTGAAAGAACCGAATTACGTAATACATACTACAGATTATATATATTGTTGTATAGAAAATAGTAAATAAACAAAAGCAGTGTGCCATAGCATGTACATTCAGAGTATAAACACAAACGCTAACTCTGATAAGCAGAATGCAGGATACATAATCACTAAGCAGAATTACAAAGTTAATCTATTAAAAAACAGCTAAAGTTTTTATGGCAGTGGGCTTTCTAATTAATTCCCCATAAACAAAGATAATCAATAGAATGTTTTATTCAGATGGTTTATGTATCTCAAATTCTGCTATGTTAATCTCTATTGAAGTGTAAGAATATATTTTTTACAAGCATTTTGGAAACGTATTGTAGATGTAGTATTGATCTCAGGAGAAAACTAAATAGCCTACAAAACACCTATCAATATCCTCTTCGTCCAACTAATGTTCATGGTTTATTTAACCATTCCTGTATCTTTATTAGTATAAGGAAATTATTTACACTTTCGCCATCAGTTTTATCTGCCAACTGGTTAGTGAATTTATTGCAAGTGACTAATGAGAATAATCTCCACAGGGGTAATTCCCAAGTAAGAGATAAGGAATATTGGCGTTCTCGCTTCCCAGAGAGAAAATTGTCCAGAAGAGGTGATGGACTGTGTCCCCTACTTCTACCTCTCTGAACCGCAAGGAAAAGTGAAGTTACTTTTTAAGATCATAGGATCCAAGAATCTGCAATAGCCCAAAAGCATTCACACCAATATCTCCTGCCATCCCTTGACTACTGTTTATGCAGGAGCTGCATGACAGAACTACTCAGATTCCCATTAGCATCACAGCTGATAACAAAACACAGGTTTCATATACAAATGGAAGAAGGTGCAACACTTGTCAAACACATTGCTCAATCAAGCCAGAGGTTACAGGCCACCAGAGCAGGGATGAAGCAAAGCAGCAATACACATTAATGCAAGAAATAAAAGCAGGTCCAGGTCAGGGACAGCAAATTCTGGCAAAATTGTACTCTGATGTACTTTTTTGTCCACTGCTTTTATATGGGAACATGAATGCAAGAGGAAGCGAGATATACAATGAGTTTGGAAAGATAAAATAACTAACATCACTATGGCTTCTGGAAACATTAGTAGTCAAACCAAGGACACAGGCCAATTACATAGACTCTGTGCTTTTAATTAGCCTTCTCTACTTGCACTCATTGGCTGCTTGCTGCAGCTTATCCCATGATATTTTTATTTCCATGCCTGTCCTTCTCTGTCGTCTCTATACCTGTCCACCCTAGTCCTTAACCCTCTTTGTGTTCTTGTTCTGATCTAACATAGACCTTACCTGCCTGTTACCTTGTGCTTCCTGTTTGAATGTTACAATCCTTTTCCCAATCTTTATCTGTCCTGCCAAAATACATAAGAGTGTTCTGCTGCTCGGTTAAGAATTAGTACCAATCATCTTCCTCCTCCCCATTTGCTAGGGAGATTTGCTAAAATACTCAATTCAGTAACAAGGAAACAGATCCCAAGAATAAGGGTCCAGAGGAGGGCCACGAAGATGATAAGAGGGCTGGAGCACCTTTCCCATGTGGACAGGCTGAAAGAGTTGGGGCTGTTCAGCCTGGAGAAGAGGAGGCTCCGGGGTGACCTTATAGCGGTCTTGCAGTACCTCAAGGGGGCCTACAAGAAAGATGGGGAGAGGCTGTTCAGGAGGGCCTGTTGTGATAGGACAAGGGGTAATGGTTTTAAAATAGAGGGAGGTAGATTCAGATTGGATATTAGGAAAAAGTTTCTCACCATGAGAGTTGTAGAACACTGGAACAGGTCCCAGAGAGGTGGTGGATGCTCCATCCCTGGAGACGTTCAAGGCCAGGTTGGACGAGGCCCTGAGCAACCTGATCTAGTTGGAGATATCCCTGTTCCTTGCAGGGGGGTTGGACTAGATGACCTTTGAAGGTCCCTTCCAGCCTTAACCATTCTATGATTCTATGAATAACATTTGGCCTGTTTGGTGCGTTCTTAAGTTCACTATGACCACCCTTCACATTAGCAAAATCATAACAGCTACAACACGGTTTCTGTCTCTGTATAACCTTATTCAAGACTCTGAAATCAGTGTAAAAGTTCCCATCTACAGGCTGGCTTGGAACTAGACCTTACAGTTTTGAGGATCAGACCATTAACATTATTATCATCAGCCAATTTACATGTTTATTAATGTATAACAGGAAATTATTTTTTAATTTAATATTACATAAGCTATAGAAAAATTAGTTTAAAATTGCATAAAGAAAAGACATCTAACTTGCAGCAAAACATAAGACAATAATGAAATATCCTTAGAGATCTGGCAATGCCATTCCTAATTCCATCCTGCTACTAATTCTTACGCTAGTACTGATGTGATGCCCAAAGCACAACAAATTGTCTTTGTACAGATGATTGTTTCTAATGTATTATTCCAAATTATGACCCTGAGTAAAGGGACACTCCATCCGTCTACCTGTGCATCATACAAAAGTATTGGTTTGAAGAATGGAAAGCAGCATTTTGAGTCTTGTTGACTCAAGACGTGTTCCTCTCCCCTTGGAAAGAGGAATGACATTTTGTTAGACATACACAAATAGCATCTGATCTTGTAAGAGTAAACTGAAGTGATCCCACAATGGCAATTAAATCAAAATATCATTTTATTGATCTCAGAATACAGTGCTTCTCAGCTGCTTAAAAAAATTGGAATCATTAATGAAAGTAAATGCTGCACTCTTCCAATGAGTATATAGCAATGAGAAATGCGCCATATGAGCCAGTGTGCTCCTAACCTGATTCAGAGATGACATTCATGCGCCATAGAAGCTTTTTAAATTTAAAAAAAAGTGCAATTAATTGTAATTTGGTTTGACATGTACTTTTAATTTCAGAACTTCATGTTTTACTTCTGTTATTAAAATGCTTTTCACTTTATTCATTTGTTTATTTTCCAGAGTGCATCTAACTTGGATAAAAGTACGACCAAAGCTGAGAGTGCATGGCTGTTCAGAATTTGGTATGGCTTTGACCACAAGTATCCTTTTTTTATTTTTTTATAAGCCATAGATGATAGTTGCATTACAACTGGCACCTTCAAAATATTTTAATGTGTTTAGTAAGGGGAAGAAATTTTGGAAGTTCAAACAGAAGATCTAGAAAAGCTGGGCAGTGCAGTGGTAGTATATTCCAAATTGAGGCTATAAGGAGTGAAAACAAGCTAAGAAGCTCTACCCTACAGTAGTATATAGACAATAGGTTTATTTAAATTGATCTTTTTTAAATTCCAGCATAAAACTAATCCAATTATTAATCAGATAATGTATAAAAGTGTAAATTCTTTGGGAAACCAGGAGGTTGGAAGACTGAAGCAGCCCAAGGGCTGCTGTCTGCCCACATATTCAGAAAGCAGTAGCTACCCAAGAGAAAGTAAAAATGAGACAACACTGGTTTACCCACACCTCTTAGAGAAAGTTGCACCCATTGTGAAGATGTAGCTCCTAAGACTTCTGTGTAGCTTGTACTTCCTATTCCCTGGATTCTTGAGTCTTTGTGCTTCTATTCACATTTCTACTGACACATGTATAGTAGAGATCTTGAATATGGGTTTCTGATGCTTTATTCTGGAAAGTCTGGTTTCCATGTCTCTTGCATTTCAAGAAAATAAGTGATTTTTTTATAAATTATTCTTTAAAAAAAAACAACACACCTCTCAAAGCCAAGGTAGAACATGCGCTCTGACACTCATGTTGTCACTAATGCCCATGCAAAGATGGTAAAAGCTACCGTTCTAAGTTATTGTCATTTTAAACTGACTCTGCAAAGTCTGTGCATAGCTATCAGCGAGATCCCACAATAACAATCATGCCCTAAGACTTAACGGAGATATACAATGAATATAAGAGAAGCCCATCTGCATTTCCATGCATATTGGCTCAAGAGCTGAACAGGCAAAGCTCTACCAGTAGCCTCCATTATTCAATAGCACATCTATTGGTCCATTACCCTGCACTACTGAGTAGAGATTAACGTTCAGGCTACATATGTTTTTCTGATACCACCTGCAGCAAACTAGGATGAAATAAAAATGTATTGATGATAACATGTAACTCTCTGGGAATACAGCTTCCTTAAAGAGTTCATATGAAGACTTTTGATGGAAAAAACATCTTTTTGGTTAAAAATGAATGTATTGCCCAAATTCATCTACTAGAGCAGTTTTAAGGGCCAAAAAGCATTTAGTATTAGAATCTTTCCAAAGATAATTCTTCAAGAATACTTATAAATAGCAGGAGAATGCTGTATAAAGGGGGAAAACGTTTAAATGCTAATGCTGAATACCAGCATAACTAGCTTTACCACCCAGTCCCCCTTCTTCAGAAGGAATAGCCTGTGGTTCTGGTATATCTTAGAAAGTAGAAGTCAGAAGGAACAGGGGGAAAATTTGCTCTGAAGGGAAAAAAAAAAAAAGAGAGGAAGCAAAAAATATATAGAAGGCAAGAACTGGACAGAGGCATGAGTTAAAAAACGGCATGAAAGACAACAAGGGTAGAGCTAGAAAACAAGGAACAGAGGCAGAAGGGAAAAAGAAATCAATATGAAAATGTCAGACAACAGTACCTGCAAAATGAAAGGACTGTAGAATGCACAAGAAGCAACGCTTCCCAGAGATTGTGTGGTAGAGATCTTGAATATGGGCATATGATGCTTTATTCTAGAAAGTATGGTTTGTGTCTTGTGCGTTTAAAGAAAATATTTTAAGCTATTTTAAAAAATATATTCTTAGAACAAATTTATTCATAAATGTCCATCTCCTAGTTAAGTCAAACTTTTTTTAGATTTTAGATTTGCAGGGATTATAGTCTTGCCATTATTCTAAAATATATTTTTATTACAAATAATACTTCTACATTTTACTAATCCTGAAAACATATACCTGCACAGAATAATGGTTCAACCCACTAATGCTGTGACTCACCTCTTTGAGCATTTCTTTGGTATGACTATTTCTGAAAGACATTCTTTTCAGGGAGAGAGAAATTATCCACCCAAGCTTTCTTTTGCCTTTCCCTGCCTAATGTTACAAAGCTGTGCTGCTAAATTTAGAAGAAATTGTCATGTACATACTATGTGTGCCCAATACAAGAGTGCATAGAGGATTATGCAATATAAAGTTTTCTTTGAAAAGATATGGCAAAGTAATAATCTATCTGTTTATATACTTCGAAAGCATACAAGACTGTGACATTTCTATAGTTTGACATTTGCTCTTAGGCATTAACACAAATCTACCCACTCTTCTGGCAATAACATCTCTTATGCCTATTTATTTCACAAGGGAAAAGCAAGAGGGAGGAAATATCACTGAGGAAATAAAAAAGTTGTGCTGTTCCTTGCTGTCCTTATAAATGATTTCCACTTAGTTCAGTAGTCTTAGGCAATGTGCCATGCTAGGGGAGAACTATACAAAAAAAACCCTGAAATTCTGATTGAGAATCAAATTCTATTTTTATTCTGAAAGAAACAGTAGGAGCCTGATCCAAAGCCAGCTGGGTTCAATAAAGGTTGTTTTCTTTACGCAAGTATCTTTGAATCAGGTATTGACACCTAACATACCATTCTCTAAAATCTAGGCTAAGAAATGTTAATATTGGAATAATAAAAATGAAGAAGAGATGATTTAAATATTTAGAGGTATCCTCTTGGATTTTCATCTCAATAATTTAAACAAGGAAAATGCAAACTAAAATACTTGTTATCTGACAGTGGGAAAATTCCAGTGAATTTATTTCAACTTTTGTTTTTACAGCTTACAGTGTATTACCATCTGAAGCTGTAATATCCTCCTTAAGGCTAGTGGAAAAGTGAAGGAATAAACAAAGGTATTTCAAGAATTTATCAGGGAAAGAAAACAAGATCTATAATCCAGCCCTATATACATGGCTTTATATTGTTGCTTGTGTTTTCTCAACACAGACGTAGCCAAATTTAGCTAACAAATGAATAAGCAAGCGGAAATTTTGTCCTGCAAAGGGCAACAACCTGTGTGTATAAGGGCAGAGCTCAAACAAGTGGTGAGCAAAGTTATTCCATTCCAGAGCATCCCACAACAAAATTAGAACTTTGCTCCCAGCTAGTAGCAATTTGCTTTTAACTTATGCTCAGTCCCAAAACTCTTTGTTTGCTTACTTCAGCAAACATCACTGGTTTTTGCCTGCCTAGTCCCGAGACATTGTGTACCTGACTAGAGTTAGAATTTCTCCTCTACACAGGCCTGTATTCCCAGTTACGATCTATCACTAAAAATGAAAGTAAATTAATATGAGTGCCTTGCAAACAATCTTCACCTGCTTTTCCAGCCACTTTAGACTGAACTCCTGCAGTCATTTCCAGTTTAACATGATCTTATACACGGCTTTTTGTTCACTAAGGCTTCTTTCTCTCTCTGTGTTCGTGTAATTCTCACTTCCCCATGTGGGGGCAATTTTTGCTCTCGCTGGCTTTTCTGTAGCATCAGTCAGGAAGATGACTAAACTGTTCTCCTGGCTTCTCATGCTGTATACTGAGAAGAAAAGGAGAATTTGGGGTTGCTGCACTACAGTTTGCACAGAAGTGCAAAAATAACTGAAACTGAAGATGTAAAAAGGAGAGCCTAATGTATATGCCAAGATGTTTCCATCGATAAACACTCACCATCTTCATAAGGAGAAGCCTACGTTATGTTGCAGGGTATGTACTTTAACAGTGCACACTGCAACTTAGATTGAGAAAAAATAGTTACCGCATAACAGGAAAAGGTATGCAAGATTACAATAGAAGAAAGCAAGAAGGGAAGGAAGAGGAACAAAGACTTCAATGCACGGTAAGTTTCTTTGAACACTTAAGCACTGAGTTGCAAGACACAGGCCTTGGGCCCACCTGCAGCCAGGTCTAATCACGTGTTTTCTGGCAATGGGGCAAGGATGAGATTGCATGTAACGAGGTCCTCCAGGAGTAAACGCCATGACCAGAGCACTAACACTTGTGGGGTGAGACGGAGCAAGAGATACCTGATGGTGGTTGCTAGCTGGCCAGCACGGGTATTACAGGTGTTGCAAGGACAGGCCTACTGCATCCTCAATACTGCTAGAGCTACCAAATAGCAACATAGCTGTAACTTGCACAGAGCTTTGCTTTTCCAGCAGCTCATGTGCATGCTGCCACAAATAGAGTAGGAAGAGGAGCGCTTTTTCCTCCTTTACAGATTTCTTGTCAATCTGAGGAACTAACATTCAGTTACACTGAATAGAAGCAGGAGTCTGGGACAGTGAGCTAATTCTCCATAAAGGAACTTCTAAAAGCATTTCTACCTGAACTGCAGTTATCCATCATTCCGATACATTCCTTTCAGTTTAAAAAAAGGTTTGTGTCCTTTGCACTTGCCTGAAATCAATCAGCCAAAAGGAATCGCATTATTTGTAGACTTAAAAAGTTTACCCTCCTTAACTTACCAGAGTACCTATCATTTTATTTCTCCTGTGCTTTGTATCTGGATAAAACAGACATAATGGCTGCCTACGAAGTAAGATAAGTACTGTGAGAAAATGGAAAAGCTACTAAAAGCACAAGTGCATTCCAGGGTGAAATGACAAAGACGACTTCTGTGTTTTGTGGTTTTCAGCTGAAATCTTCCTTATGGGATGACTTGTCACCCACATATCAGACATCTTTGGAAGGAAAAGACAAGAGGCTGTAAGCTTGCATGTGCAGACTATTTTCTTTTACCTGCAGCAGAACAAAAGGTTCCTTAATTACTAATATTCTGATCTGGTATTCTTTATGACTCCAGGAACAACAGCAAAATAACACACAGTGTCCTAGTCTTCAACCAGAACTTTGTTTTGCTAGGCAGTTTTCAAACAGAGAAGAGACATCTTATCTCAGACACTTTAGTCTAATTATGAATCAAAGAAGTATCAGATAATGCAACGTAAGCAAATTCAGGTACCCCATGCACAGTAATGCAGAATTGGCTAACAGGAAAGGCAGACATCATAG